TATGAGAAATGAAATTATTGAATCTTAACAGCTGTTTCAATTAAACAAGTTGGTTCTGTTCTGTGATGTTCAATAGCATTAAAGTTACAAAAATTACCAACAGGGTGCAGCACTATTATTTCTTTTACATTTATGACAACAGCTAATTTGCAACCAAAAGGTGAGTGAGCGTAGCGAACGAACTTTAACCTGGAGGCGAGTTAGCGTAGCGAACGAGCTAACCTGAAGGCAAGTGAGCGCAGCGAACGAGCTCCAACCCAAAGGTGAGTGAGCGTAGCGAACGAGCTCCAACCTAAAGGTGAGTGAGCGTAGCGAACAAACTTCAACCAGGACGTGATTGAGCCATGCGAACGAGATAATCTTGAAAATTAAGAAGTTAAACGGGGCAAAGCCCGCGGGTTACAGCTAGTATACCATAAACCAGTAGATCATAGTCTATTATCAAATACACACTTTATGACATTCCTTGTGTCAGAAAATCTAGGTACTAAAAATTTATTTAAATAGGGAATTCAATGTTGTGTTTGCGTTATGTATGATGACTTGACTCCTTCAGCTGTTTAAAATTCCTCTAACTCAATCCTTTACCCCTACTGTTAAGTCATTTTTGACACTCCGCGCTCCAGTGAACGGTATGAACGCGTTCTCTGGAAGAGTGACATTGAGTGACCTACAGCAATTAGTGGCTAGGTTCAGAGACACTCGACTCGTTAACGGTATCTCAATGTCTCACTCCCACTCACACACTCGGAGCTGCGTCTGGAATTAGAACTACGGCCATAACTAGTTGTAAATTGGGTCGGGCATTATAGGGGCGTAATCTTTAATCCTCCTAGGGCGTAATACGGTAAATGTGGTTGATTACACTCATCGTGGGCTATATGCACTTTGCCATAGCGTTTTCTAATGCAAGGCCGCGGCGTTGTGGCAACGTCGCACCGACCTTGGGAATAAATTGCGGAGAAGCTCCTTTATGAACAGCTGTTTCAGTAGGCCGAGTCTGCGGCGTTGCCACGTCTCTTTCGCCGCGCACTTGTATGACATTGCTCACGACATATTGGTCGATACGTGATTCATCAGGTGACTCAGTGAACTGAGTTCAACTTGTAGACCTACAAAATCGATTGTACCCCAATTAAAACGTTTTCTCTGTTTTGTTGAGAACAGTAAGTAATATGTTACGGCAAGTTACCTGGATTTATAAACACATCCTGTAATTATTTGTCGTATATTCGGATCTTAATTTCATGTTGAATTGGCCCTTGGTTTGTCAAAAATCTACAAATTTCAGCATATATCAGATCAATCCTTCATAACTATACTAATATCAGTGTAGTATACAGTCACTATCACGGAACAGGTGGTGTATGCGTTGTTCATAAAATTTTGGTGTAAAACAAATCCTGTAGTTTATATTTTATGTTATTTTCTAACCCATAAATAATTTTTATGTTGAATTATTAACTTGTGTTATCATATTCATTGCAAACTCTCCTGTACCTCTATGATTTAATTCATTTGGTAGTTTTAAAATTATTGTTTATCTGTTTACTCGTCGGGTCGATTTAAATGTATGTCTAACTAGGCCTATTTTAGATTGTTTAACCTCTCCCCCATTGTTTAACCTCTATAGCGAGACGTGTTATGTACGTGTCTGGCCATACGGTTCAGATCTAGGCGCGTGTTGACATGGTATTGGCCCTAATCAACGACCACCCTCGCCCCTCACCACCCTGCAGACAGACTGGCTGGCGACAGCTACACTGCCACCATGATATCGTCGTCGTTCGTCATTTTGTGTCTCGTCCGTCACGCGTCCAGAGCTATGACCTTCGTCCTCAATTGGATCCGCCATCCGTCGTACAATTGACACGGTTTTGATTTCGCGGGATTATTTTGTTTTGTAACAAACTTGAGTTGAAAACACGTACATATGAATCACCGATGTGAAATGATAATTTGAAAAAAATACATAGGAAAATTGTCAACGTATCAATCAGTTGTAGAGGTATTAAATGTTTAGTTAAAATTGAAAATCGTCTATAGAGGTGTCTGAAAATTTAAAGTTATTTAAATTAAACACAAAATACTTGAATATCGAAGATTGTCTACTGTGGTTTAGAACTGTTGGAGTGATTAGATTGACAAAGTATTTCGGTAGTTAAATTTGATTTGTTCCACATCTGCTTTGGAGTTTGAATAGTTCATAAATTACGACATTTTACGTAAGGCCAGGCGCACACAGGCGATTTTGAGTCGCGCAACAGTTGCCCGACTAATCGGGGGACTGTTGCGCAACCGACTCGGAGACTCTGAAGTCTAGCAACAGTTGAGCTGGAGTGCGCACACAGGCAACTTTTTAGTCGTGAATCTAAAGTCTTTACAATTGTGAATCTAATCTAAAGACATTACATTCGTTAACAGCGTTAACAGTACCGAATGGATTTCAATGATACAGCCGTAGTGCTTTGTCGTTGAAGTTGTGATTTTTTATTTTATCCTCTTGTGGTTGTTCCAATCTTTAGTAACTGCCAAGGACACTTCATCCCACAACTTCTTCTTCAAATTAATATTCGAACAGTCTTTCAATGACTTTAAATATAAAGGCGGCATCTTGTCAACTTAATCAATTAATTGTTTGACATCCTCATCACGGAACTCCTTTTCTAAAAACTTCACACAACAAAAAGAGAGCAAACACTAGTGACAGATCTGGCCACGAGTAGTTGAATTCCTCGGGTGAGACTGAGCGACACAGCGACAATTTAGTTGCATGTGTGCGCATCTACACTTGGTTCAATGGATACCAAACCTGGAGCGACAGTCCCGCAACAATTCAGTCGCAGAGCAGTCGCTGGCAAATTGGGTCCGGGAACATCGGTTGCAACAGTTGCGCGACTGTCCCCAGACTGTTTCCTTCGTGTGCGCACTCTAATTTAAAACAATGTTGAACATTTTAGTCGGGCAACTGTTGCGCGACTCAAAATCGCCTGTGTGCGCCTGGCCTAAAATATAGATTTTGCTAAACTGAAATTCGTAGTGGGGATAATTTATTCAGTGATATGGGGGTGATATACAGGGTGTCCCCGAACTCTCTACCGCCCAAATTTTACAAGGAAACCAAAATTGCGGCTGCGTGGGCAACTTTTGGGTTTTGAAAATTTTTCAACGTGATATTTTAGTTTCATTTGGTCCAGGAATGACACCTCTTAAGGTTGATGGAGTTTATACTTTTTGGATAGCCTACATTCAAAGTACTTTTTCGAAATTGAACATTTTTGTCAATGTAGGTTTGTGGTTGTTTGTTGGATATTATATTGAAGATTATATGTTTAGAAGATGTTCCGGGACATTCCTCGAACCTCGTAGCTTGTGGGTGGTTGGCTTGGCGCCTCTCTCCCGGGTGAAAGTTCCAGTCTTGTCCACTTTTACCTCGGTAGACAAGGGACTGGGTCTATTTAATTACGTGTCACATGTTTTATGACCCTGCATTGCTGTGGTTTTATTGCCATGTTTTCTTTAAATGGTAGGGGTGAATAAGTACCCAGTAATAGTTGTCGGATTTTTATCACTCGTGTTAACTTTCACTGTGAAATTCACATAACATTAAGTCACTTCCGCTGATTGAAAATTATATATTATGCCAAATAGTCCTTGTCATTGATTTTATTTTCGTGACAAACTTTTACCGAGATCTTCATGTTACACGTCTTTGTTCATCTAAATTGTTTTCATGAAATTTTGTCAGGAGGATTTTTTACTATGTGCTGGGCTGTACTACTGTAGTTTTATGGTAGAGTAGTCGTCAGTTTGGCACATAATGGTAATGATGTGCGATACAGTGATATACGCCCAGGGCCGCGCCGTCGTACTACGGTGTGACGGTGTGATCACTTCCGCGCGTGTGCAGTACACGCCCACAACACCACCGTACTGATTTGATTGTCAATTGATTCGATGATTGTTGTTGGTGTTACTTGATGAAGAAAAACTATCTAACTCGTTAGGCTATCTAACTTTGTTATCTTAACGATTATGCGGTTAAAAAAACGATTTAAAAATCGCGTTTTGGTAATAAAAAGTAAAATGAAGGAAAAGGAAACGTTTTATAGGAAATGTTGTATAAAAGGAACAGGCTATTACCGTAGGCCTATGGGTTAAAGTAAGACCTAGACCCGAGACCGATATACTTTATGGTTTATATAGATCCCAAAACACCTTCTGTTCAAAATTCATTAATTAGGGGTGTCTGCTAACATGATAACAACTTGAAATAAATGAAAATTAGGCCTACAATGCCGCAGTTTATTTCCAAACTATTTGTAGGGCTTAATAAAACAAACAATTCACTATTCACTATATTGAAGCGTTGTTTTACATAATGGTTACAAATACTAAACATTTTTTTAAATTTAAATTCCAATGTCAATTCTATGGAGAATAAATAAACGGTTGTAGTTTGCTTCTTTAGGAGTATATTTTGATGAAGTTTGTTTATTTCAATAAATTTATTGACATTTCAATAAAAACCCACTTTAGAACCTTCCTTGTAGCAGCAAACCTAAGTATTAATTACAATTAATATTATTTAAAAATAAAATCTTATCAAAGATATTTTTCTGAATCTTGAACCTTTCTTGCAGTCGTGTTGACATCGTCTATTAATGTTATTTTAAAAAAATCTTATCAAAGATATTTTTCTGAATCTTGAACCTTTCTTGCAGTCGTGTTGACATCGTCTATTAATGTTATTTTAAAAAAATCTTATCAAAGATATTTTTCTGAATCTTGAACCTTTCTTGCGGTCGTGTTGACATCCTCTCCCACAGTCACGGAAACATTGTTTTCCGCAATCGCTGAAAAACGTTAAATATGGTACCTAAATTGACCAACTAATGTGTATAGACAGTTGTGGGGGTTACTTGTATGTTCCAATGCTTTGTTACTTCTACTACCCTTTGTTGGTACAAGTTGTTGACCACAAGTTTTGTGTTGTGCAGGCCGAGAGTGAGGTTGCTGCCCTCAACCGTCGTATCCAACTGTTGGAGGAGGACCTCGAAAGATCTGAGGAGAGACTGGCAACGGCCACGGCTAAACTGGCCGAGGCCTCCCAGGCGGCCGACGAGTCCGAGAGGTAAGTCCTCCGACAAATACTTTGGGTTCACAGCGTATCTCATATGGTTTTTTCGTGTAATTTCAACAGGGCTATATGAAACCTCTTTCCAAGATCAGGGTCATCGACGATCACGCTGATCAGGCCTGGAGTTTGTTGTACGAGATTCCGAAATTGTTGATAAATGTTCGAAATGGTTTGAACAGTTTTTCTTCCGCTCTTTGGAGTTTTGTTTCCATACATCCTAACCTAAACTTATGACTCTAACTTGGTAGTTAACTTACTTCTGGAATTTTAATATTGTTACATAATTTAGACTATTTATTTTTCAAATATTATAAACCAATATTTAGTGGTGTAACGGGACTACAATTTATTCTTCTGATTTTAATGTACTGAATACTTAGTTGCATTTATTTCAAACTTAGGTTTCTTATCATAGCCTACAACAAATTTCCTATCTTAATTATTTGAAACTCAGTAAATATTCGGCACAAATCCTTAAATCTCTTATCTAAATTTCCAGCTACCAGGAAAAATTGTTTTACTCAGCTAATCAACAATTAAAGACTATGTGAACATATTTTCCCTCTAATTTAAGTTGATATTTCAGCCTGTGAAAAATAGTGATAAATTTGTTTAAACAATGTTGTGTGGAAATATAGGCAAAAAAAGGTATTTGTTAATTTTTATGTGAATTAAAATAATTTGCTGTATTTCCAAAATCATGTATAATTTATTTTACAATGTTGATATATACTTCAGTAAAAGATGGGCTATGCAGAGATCAGGGAAAATTGCTGACCCATTTGTTCATATACTTAGTGATAGAATACCTAATTTTTAAAAGCCTTTTAGTCCACTTCACCAAGGATTAAAAGTTTCAAGGTAAATTTTGTGTGGCATGAGCTTGTTTAGCCCCCAATACGAAAGTGATAACATTCACAGTTTTCCTCTGTCCAAGTACAATGACCAATATAGCCTATAGCAGACAAGATGGTTGTTGGGTTTGACCTTGCATTCCTTGTGTCAAGGTCAAATCAGCAATGGAGTTTGTTTATGAAATGCCTGATTGACAAATGGATTTGTATCAAGAAGTAGCCTTGAAACATGCCTGAACCGTCTGGCTTGCAGCTTATTTTTTTATTCAAGGTTCAAAATAACTATAGCATAATTTGAATTTTTAATATCAATTGTTTAAAAATATCATAACTAACTTCTGTACCGGTACTCCAATAATTGTGAATTATTGTTGTATATAGAATCAGTTCAGTGTATGATTTCCTGATAACTATGCTAACTCCAGTTAGTTTGCATTCTATGACTAAAAGCATGAAAGAAAGTTTCCTTTCTTAAAGAAAAAAAGTTAATAAAAAACCTTTTGTGTGTTTTGTGTATTTTAACAGCAACCTTAGAAAGATTTTTTACCACACACTAAATATAAGAAGTAACAAAACTCTGTTATTGCTTTTGAACTGAGTTGTTCAAATTCTACATTAATAATAGTAGTTTGTGTTTTATATTAATATAATTGATGAATACTTGTGCTATTTAATTATTTTATCATCTACGTTACGTACCACCTTCTAAATTATGCTATTTAATCTGACCCGTAGTGTAAATTAAAATCTCTTTGTAATTGGTGATCAAAATACTCTTGCATTCATAACATTGATTTTAACTTAGCCGCAAAACAAACTTTTTACTAACGGCTTATTGACAAAAACAACAAGTACTGTGGTAATGAATCTTATAACACTGTTTTTCATTTGCATCTGGCAGCATATTTGAGTTTCTCTGTCTGGCTAAATTGTCTAAAAAGTATTTGTAGGCTATATTTTTTTGAAATTAGTTAAAAGGGATCTTTTCACATTCCGGTATGTGTTCTTTTGATATTAAATTTACATAATCTTCCTACTTAAGACGCTATATTTTTTTAGTTTGCCAACTTCTTGTTCTCGCCATTCGTTTTCCAGCTATTTTAAGATTAGTTATTTCTACTATTGAAAAAATTACTAAATTAAATTTTAACGTTTTAGTAGTTATTTTGTAATAAATGTACCCCAGTATAAAAAATAATATCAAGAAATTAAGCCCCGAAAGGTGTGTTGTTCTAATATTTCTTTATTTTAATTTCATGGTAAAACTTCTATCCATATCTAACTTCAATTATTTTGTCACTCAAAATTTTAAAAAAATCTAAATTATTACCTTCTATAATCACCTTCTATAATGAGCATTGAATGCAATCAAAAATAAATCTGAGGTTTAAAACATAAACTTAATTAAAAAGTTGAAGTCACTTTTCACTTACAAATGCTAGATCTAGCGTACTTGTATACCAAGCTAAAATTAAGTTATTAGGTCCAGAAAAATTATTTGCAAAAGTAAATTAAGTTTCTTAGTCATTGCTAGAGTAATACAATTTTTGGACCTATTCAGAAGCATCAGAGATTTTATAACAGAAATTCCAGATGAGGCTCGTTTCTTCCCAATTTCAAATCCAAAAAATATCTATAGATTATGGTCTAGACTCGTGTAAATCTCACGTTGAACGTTTGAAACCATATGCTGCCAAATGTTGAAAGACAGTTTAGTGGTCTAGGGCCGTAGTGCAGTGATGTGTGTGCTTGAAGGATACGCAAGGCATTGGAGAACAGAACCAACATGGAGGACGACCGAGTGTCTATACTGGAGGCGCAGCTGGCTCAGGCCAAGATGATTGCGGAAGACTCTGACAAGAAGTATGAGGAGGTAGGTTGGTCCCGCAGAGAAGGGTGGTCTGGCAGCTGGGAGACGGTGGTCTGTTGATGTGGACGTTGGTTAAAGTAAGACTTAACTTGAGTTTGGGGAACATGAATTGGGCATCCCAGCAACTGAGTGGGAGTAGAATCTGTCAAGTACTGTGTTATTTGTGGAGGTGAAGTCAGTTATGGCGGGATTTACTTTAGCAGTCTGTATGATTGAATTTGTCTCCTGACCGGGTGTACATGGTATTGGACGGGGCCGTCCAAACTACGCCCAGTTCCCAGGTAGACGGAAGTCAGGAGACAGGTTCCATCATGCAGACTGTTGCTAATACGGCTGTGGGATTGTGAATATTCTTGTTTTATTTTCCAAGAACTGCGATATTCAATCGGGTTGCGGGACTTGGAGCAGGCCGCTCTGGGATTCAATCTGTGTCAAATTTGATAGGCAGAGAAACCTGGCCATTAATCAGCCGTGAAAAACTAGAGCTATTGGGAGATACAATATCTTCCGTTAAAAGCTTAGAAAATGAACTGAATGTGTGATGCAAAACAAAAATGTAATGTAGATCATCCAGTGGAGACTTATCAAAATGCTGAAAATCGTGAAAATCTCTGGGGTCTTGCCAAATATTGAACATGAACGTGGAAATATCAATCTCTTCCGCCATCCCTGAAACATTTTTGTTGTTATTTGTGAATTTTTAAACCGATTTATGCTGACGATTCCTCTGATACATCGTGGTTGTAAAATCTAGGCTTGATCTTGATTTTCTGATTTAGCATTCAATCTCTTGAGCTTGTAAGCAAAACTATGCCAAAACATTGAGCTGCTCATACGCCTCTACTATAGATATGTATCTTTTATTGGGACCTAAGGTCGGATATCCCTATGAGGCGGTTATAACGAGGTTGGATACGACGGGTTCTACTGTACAAGAAAAATGCTGGGAGCTTAAGTCATGACCTTTGATTCTTCAAACAAACACTAATTCTATTTCATCGAGTAACAAAAGTAAACTAATGTATTTTGTCTAGACTTGTCAAGCAAAAAATCAAAATCCCATCAAGAGACCACTTGAATTTTCCCTGTGATCGCTAGACCGCCTTGAATCTCATAAGTTTAGATGACCCTAATAATCATTTCAGATGGCGATAGGAGTGGAGACGAAGCTTAACTCAAATCCTCCTTTCTGCGTATGGGGAGGAACAAGTGTTTCAGGTGATGTTAACGTTCATGTTGTATTGTAGAGCGCGTAAGGTGCTTGAAAACCGCAGCTTGGCAGATGAAGAGCGAATGGACGCTTTGGAAAACCAGTTGAAGGAAGCTCGGTTCTTGGCTGAGGAGGCAGATAAGAAATATGATGAGGTGAACACTGAGCCCACCTAATGTGTGTCGCTGCTCCTCGCTGCTGGCTAGTGATATTTTGTGATTCACTAACACCAAATATGTACAGCTGTCTGAGTCCAGTTCCCCCTCCTTGCGTCCCTACGGTGGTTTGGCAGGGTTGACCCGAACATGGCGAATAGGTCAAATGTCCGACGAGGCAGTAATATTTGTTTGTAACGTAAAATCGGAAGTTACTCCCCATGAGTTTTCTTTGTTTTTTATAGTAATCGCTTATTGTTATAGAACTTAGCCTATTCCTGTTGATTTGGATTTTTTCTTGTTTTTGTGTATTTTGTTTTGCTACGCTGTCGTGCGGAAGGACATAAATATTTATTTATCTAAATTCAATTTCCAGGATCAAAAAGTTTCACTTAACCGCATTGTTTACTTACTTTATAACACTAGTGATAAAGTAACGGATCAATGCAGTTCAAAGATTGAGAGAAAATTAGTAAAATTGTAATGCTTCAAATGCCAATTTATCAGCTGGTAACGACCAATTTAATTGTTGATCTGTTGACATTTGAAAAAGGTAAAGTATTGTAAGCAACTCGCGTGATTAGCCTTTACGACACTCGTAGAAGTTTTTGAGGCTTTAAAGACTATGTACACGTTCTTAGCTTAAACGACGGTTTTTTATTTTGCCAAAAAATGTATCCGATTTTTGTTATTTTGGTGCTTTTGTTTGTTGAACATTGGGCATTTGGCAGATTTGTCATGCTTGTGGGGTCTTGTGGTTAGTCAGATTTGTGGTAGGTTTTGGTGATATTAGACGGATGTGGTGGTCAGGGAGTAGTCGGTCAGTTAAGTGCTAGGAGGTCACTCTTCAAAGGTAATAGTATAGAAACATCTATATTTGTAAACTTGCACTATGACGGGATTGTGATACAATGTTTAGCATATTTTTATGAATTTATAGAGATTTTTTTTCAGTTATTTTTGAAAACCTGGTTCCAGGTGATTTCAAAATTGTTTTCAATTAGGTAAGAGGTATTTTATTTTGGTTGATCCGATGGGTGAATATTTTTTGAAATGGTATAACTTGGTGCAATTTATTGTAATGTAAAATAATTTTTACCAGATTACATCCAAAGTTCTCATTGTAGTAAAATCCTATGCTAGGAAGTAACATTTCTAATTTGCTTATTTGCTAATGTTTAGATAACAGTTTATATATTTTAATATGTATAATAAGAGGCCTTTGTGTAAAACTAACTTGTAAGATAGTAAAATTTGTATGTAAGACAACTTGCTTTATAAATTCACAAGTATTTTATAACAATGAAATTAAAAATTGTTCTATACGTCCTATGAGTGCCTTAACCATTTTGACCTGTGCTGTATACATGCAAATGTTTAAGTTTTATTTGTTGTTATTGTGTAGTAAAATGTGTTATTTGAGCCCGTAAATAATGTCTGTATTACTTTATGATACAGATCTTAACTCCTGTTATTCAATCAATAGTTTTGTTTAATATTTCCTTTAACAATTTTATGCTCATTCCAATTGTGCCTTAATTCAAATAACAGCTCATGATTAAATTTAGATATTATTACAGTTTTTCACTGTGCTTATTGAAATGAAAAGTAGTAACAAAGATTTCAACTATTGTTATTAGTCTAAAATATACCTCAGTTATTACAAACCTATGTGAAAATTCTGATACAGAAAGAAATAATATCATCCTTAGTGACTTATTATATCAGTCCTCATCTCACTAAAACAACAATCAGAAACTTAGTACTTGGAATGTTTGTGGAAAGGCTTTACAATTGAGCAGACCAAAATTTCACTGCCGTAAAGTTCTGTTCCCATGTTAAACTTTTTCTGTTCCTCCTACATACGACATATTAGTTATCTGCCATAACACAGTACTTATATTTGTGCTTACACATAAAAAAAAATTATCACAGAAAAATTGTTGGGCCTAATTTGAAGTGATTGCAACTAGTTTGATTGCAGTTTTCCGACTCCCAGTTAAAAAAGTAATATCTAACATAATCTGCCGAGGACTTTTTACATGTAACACTATTTTTATTACAGAATGTTAATTTCACATTCATCGTGGTTGGGTAGTGTATTAGACTTCGGAAGCACCTTTGGCAAGAAAAAGCTCCGTATAATCTTCAATTTGATTTTTTACAATAATCCCAACAAACCTAAATCCAAACTAGGATTGAATAAACTGAGGTATACTTTATTTGACTTTTTGAAAATGCTTAACTTTTTTAAGTCAGAACAATCTCATTTCTGTAAGGTTAGAGGTTTCTTTAAATTGTTATGTTTAAATAGAGGCACTTAAAAATTGTCCGATAAAGTTCTTTTAACAATGTTCAATTGACTACAATCAATCAGCTGTTCCTAATGCCTTAGTTTTAACCTATACTCTGTTCACAAAATTTAGGCGGTTTGAGGGGAAGTTCCCCCACTACTTTTTTACCTAATATTTGGTGCAGCTGATTTATAATTTTGAAAAACCTCAAGCTGTTGAGCTATTTTTAAAGGTAGGTTCAAGTGGAGGGGATTAATTTCTTCCCCTTCAACAGCCTAAATGTTGTGTACAGCCTACAGAATATAGTTGAAGATATGTCTTGTGTAATTTGGTACATTCCTCCCGAGTATTTCGCTATTGGAAGGTTGCACTTGGACTACATTTACCATCTGACTCAACTACGCTTCAGCTCTTATGTTATCTCATTGATTGTGTTTTAAATGTATTTAGTTTTGAACAATAAAATTTGTAATTTATTCATCCGTGAATGGTTATTTAACCCTTGAAAAGTTTTACTTTTTCAGTGTGTGATGAAATTTAAAGTTTTGGATCTTATATTTTAGCTATAGCCTCATTGTGTTGCTCTTACAGAATTTTACCCTTAAAAACTTTTGGCTGCAATTTCACTAGACGTAGGGTTGGTTATAAAATTAAAGTCGTAAAAATTGAATAGTTAAATTTTTAATCGTGTCTACACCAGTAGCATTTTTTATAAAAAAAAAAAAAAAAAAATAGAAGAACGTTGCTAGTGCATGCATGGGATTTTGTATTGTTTTAGTCAAATTTTTTCACAAAAAATTATTGACTGCTATTGATTAGGTTTTTTAGCATTGTTGCGCTTTTTTACATTATACATTTTTCGGCGTCCAGTTAAAATCTGTTGTAATGCCAAAAAGTTGTTTACCACAGTCCATTTCTTGTTAGGAAACTAAGAGCCACAAACAAAATGTTTTACGATGACACAATGTAAAATCTTACGGGTTTTATCCGGACAGTAAAAATCATAGAGTGAAAGGAGCGTTATAGTAGAAATGAATCAAATTAAATGTAAATAAAATTATCCTAACAAACCCTTTCCTCTAGTAAGAACAAGTTTTTAACATATTCCAAAACTTTCATTGCCAACTCATTCACACTGAAACGTAAAATGATATATTTTAAGGCTACTATAAGATTAAGAGATGGGAAAAGTCCAATTTAAAAAAATATGTTTTATTAATCTCCTGAAACTACTTTAAAAAGATAGTTTACCAGGACTAACCTAGAGTTTATTCTTTATGTTAATTTATGAAATAATTCACCTAATGGGATCTTGTCTGAGGGATATTAGCAGATTTATTTCTG